TCCTAGATGGCACACAGAAAACAAACTGAACATTGAAAGCCCGATTGCAGGTTTTCCCTTGGCGGCACTCATATAAAGACCTAAAATTTAAAAAAATTTACAATAAGAATCATAATTACTTAGCGTTATGGTTATAGTGATTATTTGAACATTATGACTGTAATTTTTTTTAAACACGGCACAATTAGACTAGATTAACTAGATTAAGCACGATATTTATCAATATTGCCGAGTCTAAACTAGCAAGTCCACACTAAAACTAGTTATGAAATAAGAATCACATATTGCGAAAGTAACTACATTTAAGTTGGAAATATTTAGCCACAAAAACTCATTGCATTCGTAAAGTTAGCTTACTGTCAGAAATTGGCAAAAGCAGTTATATAATTTTAAATATTTAAATTTTGCTTTTATTACAAGTAGTATTTCTCAATTATTAATTCGTATAATTAAATTTGGACCTTTGATTGTAACATTTTTTCAAATTCAGTCTCCTATACGTCAATTAGGCCCTTATTTGTAATTATATTCATTTTACAAGCCCTTATATGTGAATTCCCCTTGTTTATAATCCATTTAATACACTTCATAGTTACTATAGATGCTTCTTCACCATATAAGAAGCATGTTTACTGATCATAAACATTTCCTTTACGTGTAACATTAATTTAGTAACTAAAATTAGATCAGTACCACGAAGAAAATGCATTGGCATTAACCTTGCAAGCACAAATCTGCTCAAAAATGGGAAATGGGCTTGGAAAACTACCGTCTGACACTTATGTACCTTCAAACGGTGATTTTCCTAGTCCATTCCCAAATTGGCAATTATATAACGATAATTAAACTTTTATTTACAAAATCAGCAATTGCACAATGTATTACTGTAACACGTAACACGTGGGTAATGGATTACTGTAAGTATAGGAATTTAAATGGACTTTTGACAAATCATTTGACCATTTAAATGATCCGAACTCCGATTCAGATTCATTTATTTGGTACACAAGAAAGGAAATAAAGTTTAACGCACGTACGTACGTATATTATTGCATGATTGTATAAAAAGCAACAAACAAATTTTCAGAAACTTAATTATTAAAATTCCTTTTTTTTTAAAGCAACGATAATTTAATTTGATTTATTTATTATTGACATGAAAGAAATGAAAAGTAAATTATTATATGACACTACTGGTACTGTAAAGAAAAATAAACAAGTTAGAATTCAGCAACAACTACTAAAACTTAGTGCTAATCACGAAACTGTTAGCTTTGCTGCGACTTCTAATTTGGAACATGCTATACAACAGACTGAAGAAAAAGTTGCTAAAGTATGTATTTATTTATAAATCTGAATGAAATCGGGGATTTGATTAAATCTACTCGGTCTTATTCTTATTCTTATCAATCGTCAAGACAAATCTATAAATAAGTTACTTCATTAACATAGATTAAATTATAACAGATCGCAGCTGAATATCGCGGACAAAACCGTAAATTCCGAGATCGAGAATTCGACATATATGTGAACATGAATGATTGTCTTTATAATTCTAAGAAAGTCAAGTTCACAGCCACTAATAATGTAAAACGTGTTACAGATATTTACAAAAATCCGCAGTTTTTCATCAATGGTGTTGAACCCAATGATATTAGACAAGGTGAAGTTGGCGATTGTTGGTTTGTTGCTTCATTAGCCGTTATTGCAAATAT